TTGATTTGCACACGTGGAAGACAACTTATTCGTCACCCACCCGGAAGATGAGCTCCCCTGCTTCCACATCAACCAATGCCTTCCCTGTTGCTAGGAAAGGCCTTCCTAATATTATCGGCACCTCGTAGTCGACTTCGCGGTCGAGAATCACAAAATCCGTAGGCAAAATAAACTTGTCAACGCGGATAAGAACATCATCAATAATACCAAGAGGCCTCTTCATTGTTCTATCCGCCATTTGCAATCTCATTGAAGTAGCTCTCGGTTGACCAATACCCAAAGTTTTGAATACGAAGTAAGGCATCAAATTTATACTTGCTCCCAAATCACACAAGGCGCAAAATCCGCACTCCCAATGGTACGTGGAATGGTGAATGCTCCGGGATCTTCAAGCTTTGGAGCCATCGAGTGCACAATTGCACTCACTTGATGAGTTATTTTGATGGTCTCACAAGCCATAGATCTCTTCTTAGTCACCAAGTCTTTCATAAACTTGGCATATCCCGGCATTTGCTCAAGAGCTTCCACTAAGGGTACATTGATCGACAAGCTTTTCATCATCTCAATAAACTTCTTGAATTGGTTTTCATTCTTCTGCTTCGCAAGTCTTTGAGGATAAGGTGGAGTAGGCCTTGGCAAGGGAGCCTTATCCTTGGGCAGTACCGTTTTCGGCATGTCTATCACGTTTCCCTAGACGGGTTCACATCATTTTGAGTCTCCACCTCATTATCATGAATATCAATTCTCACTTCAGCATTCAAATTCTCTTCACTCACTTGCTCATCAACTACTGGAACATCATCATTTTGCACTTCAACCTCATCACTCACAACTTCCTTTTGCTTGGAGGTATTTACTTCACCACCTCTACTGCTCCTTGTGATCACCGCCATTGCATGCCCGATATTGTTCCCGCCCTTCGGGTTTACTACCGTATCACTAGGTAGAGCCCCCTTAGGGCGAGTGTTCAAAGATTGCAAAATCTGGCCAAGTTGAACCTCCAAGTTTTGGATAGAAGTATTATGGGATGCCAACTGGGCATCAGAGTCGGCGTTCTTCTTCATCATTTGCTCAAACATCATCTCAATCCTTCCCATCTCATTGTTTGACGAGCTAGGACCTTGAGACGGAAATGGAGGCAGGTTGTTTGGTTATTGATACATCGAAGGCCTTTGAAAGCCCGACCCCCGATTCCCTTGATTACCGTTATTCCAACCCCCTTGGTTGTTGTTTCCTCCGCAGTTGCCCTGGTTGCCCCAATTCTGATTGTTGTTCCCCTAGTTGTTTTGGTTGTTGTTGTTACCATTGTTCCAATTTCCCTGTTGGTTTTGATTCCCCCAATTTCCTTGGGATTTCCACTGTTGTTGTTGATTCGGAGCATTGCCCCGTTGTCCTTGGTAATTGTTCACATACTGAACTTCTTCACTTTGATCATCATACCCACCATCTTGGTTGAAACCACTACTACCCTGCTCATATTGATCCGGATTTCCTTGACTTTGTTGACCTATTTGTCGCCTCTTATTGACCAACATATTTACCCCTTCCATGGCGTTCACTTGTCTTGGCGCTTGAACTTGCTAAATTGAGCCTTTGCCAGCTAGTTCATTGTTGTAGTCAACTCTGCTATTGCTTGGCCGTGGTCATGGAGCTCTTTGTGCAAGTGAATGACAGTGGGATCACCTTGTGGCACATTAGATCGACTTTGCCACGCCGGGGAAGTATCTGCCATCTCATCCAGTATCTCACACGCCTCAGCATAAGGTGTGTTCATAAAATTTCCCCCTGCTAGCTGGTTCACGACACACTATTTGGTAGTGCTGATGCCATAGTAGAATGTTTGATGGATCATTGCTTCGGTCATGTCATTGTTCGGACATTCTTTCACCATCGTCCGATACCTTTCCCAATTCTCATGAAGTGGTTCATTAGGTTCCTATTTGAAGACCAGGATCTCATCTCTCAATGTCGTCATATGCCCCGGCGAGAAAAACTTGGCTATAAATTTGTTGGCCAACTCATCCCATGTAGTGATGGAATGGTTGGGAAGTCTTTCGAGCCAGTCCAAAGCTTTCCCTCTAAGTGAAAAAGGGAACAATCTCAATCTCAATGCATCCTCCGACACATTATTCTGTTTGCTTCCATAATAGGTATCCACAAAGCCCTTGAGATGTTTATACGCATTCTGATGGGGAGCGCTTGTGAAGTACCATCTTTGCTCCAATAAAGTCAACATAACATTTGTAATCTGCAAATTGCCCGCCCGGATCCGGGGTGGGACAATTGCACTTGCATAACCTTCATTTGGAAGCACCCGAGGAGCAACTCGTGGAGGAGCTGGAGGAGGGTCTGGAATGTTGTCATTGGCCTGGAGGCCTCTTCTTTGAGCTTGAGGTACTAAAGGCACCTAATATTCACCATTATCATCTACCTCCTCCCCCGGAATAACATTTCCAATAGGATCATTATTTGCCATGTTGTACCTGAATTGATTAACTCACACAAGTTAGTGAAACAGAAGGAAAGAAAAACAAGACACAAAACTAGTCAGATAGATAGCCAAAACCGTTTAGCTCCCCGGCACCGGCGCCAAAAAGTGATCGGCTCCAACCCTATACCACTATAAAATGGCAAAGAGAGGTCGATGCAGCTTTTACCTGAAAGGTCAGGATCGATATCCACAAGGAGCTAATATTGGTTGGGAGTTGGGTTTCTATCCAATCTAGCTATGATTTGTTATGTTTCTATTCTACTTTTAATGCTACTGAATGATGAAAATAATCTAAGTACAATGTTATTGTAGGGTTTTTCTCAATTAATAAAAGGCACTAGGGCAGTGACTTACACCTAGGCGAGTATCTAATGGGGTCTAAAATTTAGGACAAACTTGTTATAATTGGGATCATGATATAACCTTTACACATAGTTACTCACTTAATACCTCTCAGTAGTTTGAGTGACTTTGCCCTAATTGGCTTTCTCAAGCCCAATTGGGTATTCAAATAATGCAAGCAAAATTGGCTCAAGTCAGGTATTACTATCTCTAGGTTTAACCCTTTAATTGGGGCTATCAATTCTTGAATGCACCCCAATTACTTTTTAGCCTAAATTTCCTAGACTTAGTCTCTCTTTCTCAAGAAGAGTCTAAGTCATAAAGGCACGAATCAGTGTTTGCAATCATCAAGCTAAATATCATTAACCCATAAATAATTAAGCCCTAAAATAGAATACCCATTAAATACCCACACTAGGGTTGGGTCACAACCCTAGCTAATGGGTTTAGCCACTCATAATCAAGGTAGAAATCAAAGATGGAGATGAAATATAAGCCATAAAAGTTAATTACAAGAATAAAATCTAAGATTAATAGCTAAAGATGCTCTAAAATTACTCTAAGTTGTAAAATACGGCTGTTCACGAGCTCCTCCCAACAAAAGATGACCTAAAAATGTGAAAAAGAACTATTTATACACACATGAAACTTCTGGATAAAAATACCCCTACGGAGGTTCCGCCGTCAGCGAAATAATAAGCGCCACAGCGTAAGGATTTCCGCGGTCGCGCAAAACAAGTGCGGACCGCGTTTCTTCACTTTTGTGCTTGGTTCTGAACTTGACTTCGCGGACAGAGTAAAAGATATCGCCTCAGCGTTGGCCTCAACCGCGGCCGTGCAATTGGACGCAGACCACGCTTCTCAGATAGGCTCACTTTGCAGGGTCTCTGGACCTTGATTCGCCGCTCTCAGTGGAATTTCTACCGCAACCGCGTCAGGTATTCCGCGGCCGCACTTTCTATTCGCGCCCAGCGGTCTCTGTTGCACCCAAAATACCTTCTCTGAACCTCAATTCCGCGGACCACGTAATAGTAGCCGCCTCAGCGATGGATCTTTCGCGGCCGCTCTTTTCCTTCGCGGTCAGCGCTTTTATCTCAGTTTTGGACTTGTGCAATTTTAACTCCTTCATGAGTTGATTTTGGCTTTCTTGCCTCATTTTGACCAAACTCTGCACACAAGCACAATAAGTCAGCTTTCGGGAATACTTTTACACATTTTTTATCCAAAACCCAAGCAAAAGAGAGCATAAGATAGGCTAAAATCCATAGTTATCAATATCCATTGGAAACCAAACGGCAGAGAAAATGGCTGATGTGATACATTGGAGAGGCGGCTCTAGAGTCCCGGTTTACAGAGACTACGTGGTGTACGTGAGAGACACAGATGGCGGGGGAAGCAAGGAAGATGTGTTGCTTGAATTGCGCCCTAACATGAAAACAAAAACTATGTATGCTAATGCAATCTTAAATGGCTTAGAAATTTTCAAATTGAATGACAAAATTGGAAATTTGGCCGTGCCAAATCTTGAATTGCACTTACAAGTTCTGATCAATTCACCACCAATCAACAAAAAGAAAAAATCATCGCATATCATCGTAGCTATCATCGCAGGTGTGATTTGCGGATTTCTGTTTTCTCAATTCTGGGTCTCTTAATTTTCCGGCGATGGAATGGGGAAAAAGAATCTGGTACAAGTGTTCCCAAGTCATCGAAGTGCATGCAAAATACTGGCGGCTCAGGCTTATTATCCGATCTGTGCCGACATTTTTTACTAAAAGAGATAAAAAATGCAACAGACAATTTTGATGACAATTTTGTGATTGGGTATGGAGGCTTTGGTAATGTTTATAAAGGATACCTCAATAATGGTACAACCATAGTTGCAGTGAAGAGATTGAATCCTTCATCAAGGCAAGCGGTTCGCGAATTCCAGGCAGAGATTGAGATGCTATCATCGAAGCTAAGGCATCGACATCTGGTGTCCTTAATTGGTTATTGTGATGATAACAATGAGATATTGGTTTATGATTACATGGCTCATGGAACCCTCCATGATCACTTGTACAATACAGATAATGTTCCTCTTCCGTGGAAGAAACGCCTTGACATTGCATTGGTGCAGCAAAAGGATTGTATTACCTCCATTCGGGTAAGTTGTTAAATCCAGATGAGTCAAATAGGTTATATTTGCAAAACAGGTCATGATCCAGCCCGTTCAATATCTGTTGGCTTGGGTCACAATAGGTCAAATAACAGGTTAATGGCTCAATGTCAGTTCACACAACATGACTCAATCTCCCTTTTTGTTTTGTTTTCTTAAAATATGAAAGCTAATTTATTTTTCTTAAATTATTAGATAATTTTTCCAAATTTACATAATCGTAACTCTAGATCTCCAAAATGGGTTTTGTATGTTTGAGTTGCATTTTGACCTGTTGCGTTACACTAATTGATATGTTGTAATCCAATAGTTTGATGAGTCATTTCGAATTTACCTAATTAATTGGGTCAAATCATAACCCAATACATTTACATTTGAGTGGATTACTTGAAAAATGAGTTGATTTTGCTGCTACAGGTACCAACAACACGATCATCCACCGAGATGTCAAGTCAACTAACATCTTATTGGACGATAAATGGTTGGCCAAGGTATCAGATTTTGGATTGTCCAAAGTAGGTCCACTTGGTGGGACAGATATTACTCATGTTAGCACGGCTGTGAAAGGAAGTTTTGGGTACGTAGACCCTGAATACTACAAGCGACAGCAATTGACAGAAAAATCATATGTGTATTCTTTTGGGGTGGTTCTGTTTGAAGTGTTGTGCGCTAGGCCAGCAATGATTCCTAACTTGCCAAAAGGCCAAGTGAATTTGGCAGAGTGGGCTTGCAGGTGCTGGAGAAAAAGGAATCTTGAACAAATCATTGATCCTAACTTGAAAGGTCAAATTGCCCCAGAATGTTTAAGTAAGTTTGCAGAATTGGCATACCGTTGCTTGAGGGATCAAGAGGTCCAAAGGCCGTCAATAGGTGATGTTGTAAGGACTCTAGAATTTGCATTACAACTTCAAGAGGCTGCAGATAATAGAGGTCATGAGTTGGAAGGGTACATATACCCGCCCAGCCCATCTTTTTGCCTGATTACTAATGGTGATGCCAATATGTCGAGCGATGAAGATGAGGTTTTTTTAGGTTCCGGTGAAGTTGAAAGAAAGTTGGCAAGTAGTGGCGCATCCATGTCAAAAAGAATAAAGAACGTCGCCATTTTCTCTGAGATCGTGAATCCCTTGGGCCGATGAGATTGTTACGATCGGTATGCTAAAGTTTCATGTATGAGTTTGTTTGTTTTTCCAGGTTTTGTTACCAAGTTAAAGGTCTGATCACGCCCAACTATGCCTTATAAAAAGGACTAAGCGGTCGCTGCAAATATAATCCGGTTTGCAAGTCCGGAGTCGAATCCCACAGAGAACTAAGGCTTAGCTACAGCTGTTCACTATCACCAAGAAGACAAGCTTGAACAGTTCCTAACTTATAGATATTAATATTCTTGTGTTTAACTAATTAATTAACAAATTAAAATAGTAAATTAACAACTAAAGATACTAAGGGTTAGAGACAAGATTAAGGAGGTCTAGAGTTATGATTTCCCCTATTATCGGAATCCTTTCCGCTACGTTTTCTATAAATTTGTCTAAGTCTTCTCTACCGATCATGAGCGCTCTGAGTGTCGTAATTCTCTCCCGAGTAACTACCACAATTTACTAGACATATTCTCCCGAATTACGCTAGCTGGCATTAAGTATGGCTCACTCGGATCGCACGAAGGTTTCGTTATCCCTAGTCCCGCCTTTAAACCCTCCGTATTGATCCCTCATATACGTTAGGAGTGATGTTGTTCAACAACTACCTAAATATGCACTCTCTCCCGAGTAGTACACACTAAATAGGCACAGTCGATTGAGAGCTCTTCAACCAACCACAATATAAACGTAGTTGAACAAATAGAGAAAAAGCTACAGCAACTATACATTAACATAAGAGGAAAATCATCCTCCAATAAGTTCCATCAAACCCCTAGATAACAAATTAGCTATTCATAATAATATGCATAACTACAATACTAGAATCCATAACCAATAATGGAAATAGGAAGAAGGAAGTGAAAAACTCGTAGAAGAATTCTCCGCCTTGCTCCTAGTGTGTTCTTGCCTCCTTAGGTCGAATCCCCGGTCTCCTTAGTCTCCTTAGGTCAAAGTGTGTCAAAAGTCCTCAAAATACCATTTTTTCATGTATATATACCAAGTAAGGTCGGGCCAAATAATTATACCTTCTCCTACGCGAAAAAGGATACTTTTCTCGGAAAGGACGTGTGCGGCCGCACACCTGGAAGTGTGCCCGCGCACTTGGTCGCGCACTTTTCACACTTTCAGCCCCATATGCGCGGTTAGTGCGTGGCCGCGCACTTGCCTCGCATTTTTCACCCTGTTGTGTTGGGAATTTGAAAATTTGTAAAACATGAAAGTTGTATCTCTTTGAATTAGCTTTCAAAAATATATTGTGGAGCCCAAACGGAATTCTGAGTAAAAGGTTATGTGTATTTTACTAGGCAGTTGGTCATATTCCTACTCGATTCTTCATTCGTTCTCAACTATCATCCGTTGATCCCTGAACACGATCCCAGATTAATCCTTGGGCTTTTACTCAGACTTCAAAGCCCCAAATCACTTGAATTCATTCCATAATATCTACATAGCTCGGTATCACTCCTACAAGGCATAAAACACACAATTAGTTCAAAACACTAGCGATTAAAGCTCAATTTCAATTAAAGTGCAGTAAATAAGAATGTAATAAGCGACTAAAATACATAATTATAGCCTATCATCAAGGTCATATTCGAAAATTAATAAATGCTACCATGACCAGTTGTAGGATCAAGTTAAGGTCCTATCCGCAAGTTTGATAAGATACATATTATCAACTTTTTCCTCTCTTCTACTTTCCCTCTTTTGAGTTAATTTCCATAGAATATCGATGAATTGTAGTGAATATTTGAAAGTATATAGCTATAATAAAGTTTCACTAAATTTTTTTCTTATTTGATTAATCGTTATGGTAGACACATATGAAATGTAGGGATCTACAACTTTTTCATAAAATTATCAAGATAGAAAGTTAATGTCGTAAAAAGAATTTAAGATTAATGTTTATATTCTGTGGAGGTACATGCCTCTTTTGTTTAATACTCCATCCGTTTCAAATTAAATGAGGTAGTTTGACTCGGCACGGAGTTTAAGAAAAAAAAAAGACTTTTGAAATTTGTGGTCTTAAAAGCTTAAGGTGTAAAGCTTTGTGAGGCCATAACTTTCGTGTGGTTATAAAAGCTTCTCATTAAGAGTAAAATGAGTAAAATGAGGAGTTTAAAGTTGAATTATTTCCAAATTTAGAAATGTGTCATTTATTTTGGAACAGACTAAAAAGGAAAGTACCTCATTTAATATGAAACAAAGGGAGTAATTTGCAAACTTTTCTTTCTTCTCAAGGGATAGCTTGCATAGGCTAATTTAAGATTAATGTTTATGAGTTACTACAATAAAAAATAGCACGAACTAGTCAATTTTTGGATTGGTAATTGAAAAATATCCAGCTTTATAAAGTCATTAAAAAATAATTACTATTTAGCTGAAACACGGAAAGTTCCAACATAATATGCTGGATTATGGAGCTCCTGCGCATAAATTTCAAGCATATCATGTTGGAACTCCAGCACATAAAAGTTCCAGCATAATATGCTGAATATTGGAGCTCCTGTGTATGAACTTCCAACATATTATGTTGGAACTCCAGTACATCATGAAATTCGAACACATTATGCTGGAATCTCATATGTCAAATTTCGAGTCACCAAACGACGTTAATCTTATAAAAAAAATACCATCGTGTTTAACGGCAGAACTGATGGGTATTGTTTAATGATGTGGTAGTTTTTTGCTGGGCCACGTGGCAAACTCCGTTCAAAAAAAAAAAGGGGGGTCTTTTTCGACCATTTACACATAAATGGCAGAAGAAAGGTTCTTTCCGATGTATTGACTGAATTAATAAGCTGAATGGTTTTCTTCCGATTCTAGTTTTTTTAAAGTTTGGTTTTATTCTAGATCTCTTACTGCTTGCCTCTTTTTTGTATCTTCTGCTTGGGGCAATATATTAACTTCTAACTTGAGTACCTATATTTACTTTAGTTGTAAGGATACTGAAACATTTACGAGCTACGACTGGTGGGTTGAGGATGAAATGCAGAGTAGCATGATGACGATGAAGAGGAGAAAGAAGAGGGGCTTCTACCGGGAAGAGAAAAAAATATCTATTATAATCAAGATAAGAAGGTATCGTTTGGCCTAATTGTTTGTTTAACTTTTAAATTTATTATGACATTATATACGTCATGATTGGAGACACCAATGTTGGATTTTTATGTATTTAATATATTAAATACTTAAAAGAGGTGAATATGAAATGGAGGAAAATGAAATTTTTGAGTGAAATTTTAAGTTCCTCATTGGTAAAATGACATTGTCCCATATAGAAAGAGGAAGATGTTTTTTATGGGTATATAAGCAATTACTCTTCTTCTAGCTCTTAAAGAGTTGAGAAGAAGGCAAGCCTCGCGCCGTCGTCGTCGCTCGGCTCTGCTTCGGATCAAATGATTGATTGATTAATTTTTGGACCAAATTTATTTGTTAATAGTAAAATATTAACAGAAATGTTATTAAATATTTATTTTAATAACAGAATATTAATATTAAAATAAATATTAATATTAAATCCTCAAATCTGTTTTTCTGTTTTGGTAACAGAAAATTAACTACCCTCTTTAATTTTTCCTCTTTATTTTCCCTCTTTATTGTTGAGTAAATAGCCATTTATGTAATGCATTTATGTTGTGGCCGTTTTGCATAAACAGCCATTCTGAAGAGTTGTACCTCTTCAGATTTCAGCCCAACTTTGGCTATAAATACAACACTATTCTGCTCAGAATTTCACTACGATTTTTTGAGTTTCTCCTCCTTCTTCTGCATACTTTTAGCATCAAACAAAGCAACAGTAAGTGTGATTTGCTACCGAACTTTGTGTTCGCTGAAACACTGGGGTTTGAAGTACCACTACACCAGTGTGTAATTCATTCTATCCTGGGAGGAAATAATCCATAACCTTGGGTACTAGGAGGGGATTAAATTCCTTAAGAAAACACTGTGAATTCAGTGGGCTCGAATTGGTTTTCTATTTATGTTCATTTCTGTTTATGTTCATTTATATTTCCAGAATTATTTTACAAATATAGTTTTACTAACAAGCTTAAGGAATTTAATATATCTTCTGTATTTGTACTTACTCTTTTTGGAGAGTAAAACTTTTGTGGTTTTTTACTCTATTGGAGATTAAAATCTACGTGATTTTAACGTTTGTGTCATTCTTTTACAGAAATGACTAATGATAATGTGAACCAAGCTGTTCCAACGGTGACTGCCAATGCCTCAATGAGCCGAACAACACCGGCAGCATTGGCACCGGCGGAGGAACCTGGAAATTTTCCGGGATTGATTTCAAGCGCTGGCAGCAAAAGATGTTCTTCTATTTGACTACTCTAAGTCTCTAGAAGTTCATCAAGGAAGATGTTCCAGTGCTGCCCGATGAAACTCCAGAAACTGAACGCTTTCTCGTGATTGAGGCGTGGAAGCATTCAGATTTTTTGTGCAAGAATTATATTCTAAGTGGGCTGGAGGATGCTTAGTATAATGTCTACAGTGGCGTGGAAACGTCAAAAGTACTGTGGACTGCGCTTGAAAAGAAATACAAAACCGAAGATGTCGGGTTGAAGAAGTTCATTGCTGCAAAGTTTTTGGACTACAAAATGGTAGATAGCAAGTCTGTTATTACCAAGTCCAGGAATTGCAAGTGAATATTCACGATCTCCTTGCTGAAGGTATAAATCAAATTAATACAGATGTTGAAAGTAGTAATCTTAGTATTTTTACTAATAGAAATTTCATTGAAGGTCTTGTCATCAATGAAGCATTCCAAGTAGCAGCGATGATTAAGAAGTTGCCTCATTTGTGGAAGGACTTCAAAAACTACTTGAAACACAAACGCAAGGAGATGTCCCTTGAAGATCTCATTGTTCGATTGAGAATCGAAGAGGACAACAAAGCTGCTGAAAAGAGAGGCCGTGGAAACTCAACAATAATGGGAGCAAATATTGTTGAAGAGAACAAAAAGAGTAAGAAGGCTTCTGGACCAAAAT